ACTTTGCATTTTGTAAATGGATAAACATAAACAATTACAATATATATTTTTGAAAGCATTCATACTTACAGCATTTTTCACACCTGCCTAAAACTTTTGCACAGTATTGTATGTATATATATAAAATGTTAACTAATTCCCTGTTTACCCTTCTTCAAGTAAAAACCCACCATTTGTCCTCCTTTGGGTGTTTTAGAGTTCCTAATGATAGATGCTAAGCAGCAAAACAACTGAATGTGGGATTTTCTTCCTAGGATCATGGATGTGGCATATAGACATTGCTTGGGAAGAAGATGGCCTGTTGTAGTACAGGTGGCTGGATTAAATCAGGGGATAGCCAGAATTCATATATGACCATTAAGACTAGCAGCATTTATAATAAACCATAATAACTTTAAAATGTTGACATTTGCATTTCTTACAAACAGTTAAGTTGCATCATTTGCATACTGATGTCATTATTAATTTGTCCTTTGCTCCTCCTTGCAGACCCCCATATAATTACACTATGTGTAATTCTACATCTATACCACTTATGAATAAGTTTCTTTAATAAATTACATAACAATAAAATAGGGCTTTGAGGCTTCTACACTTAAAACAAATAAAAGCTACAATGTATCTATCTTACCAGACTTTAGTAAAGTAAGATGTAGTACTTCTTCATGGACTGACCCAACTCTGTGGGCAGGGCTTAATTGGGTTATTCTTTCCCATGGAGGAGGCACCAACCCCATTTCTATTAAGTGTCCATATGGTGTTTAATGTTTGATAGATCTCTTGCCCACTTTTCAGAATTAAACTATCACAGAGTGGATCACAATTAAAGAAACAAAACAGCCAATCAAACCTCCATATATATTCTTAAGCTCTCAGAAGGGGATATTCCCCAAAATTATTGGGACATTTAAGCATTTATCAATGAAACAGGATCCACTCCAAAAAAAAAAATTAAAAACTCAACAGATAAAGGGCTCTTCTAGGTAAGTCATCACAGCTGAATAGCTACTTTGACATTCAATGTGGGTAGAAACCAGCAAGAGAAACTAGTCATGGCTTTCTGGAATATGTTCAAACACCCCATCACCACTATTTGACAGCTTATAGATATCACAGTAATTCCTAACCATACTTCCCACATGGGAATTCTGTAATGTGGAAAATGTACTGCCTCATGTACATTTAATCAAAAGTATGTTGAACTGAAATCAGTGGGTTGGATCCAGACACAGTCCTATCTAGAGAAGACCGAGTTTAATCTCAAGACTAAAGTTATCCCTCTTGCTTCAACATCTACTTCATGTAATCTGGATCTTGTCCCATTAGACTTTTTCCAACTCTGTTGGAAAACTGACTTCATTTCCAAGACCATTCAGAGAAAAACATTAGGCTGATATGGAAATTATTTGATCAGGATATGAAGGCAGCCCTCCACCATCTTGGGCTGTAAGGTGTACTGGTGGTGAAGGCTCCTTTTCACGAGTCTGACCAGTGAATGCAGATCGATCTATCTTTCTCTGTGGATTTTTCTAACTGTTGCCAAGTAAATCAATTCACCCCCCAGAAGGAGCATCCCTCAGGACCCAGGAGGAAGGCACGGTCTTTGCAGGTGTGCCCGCGCCCCGCTAGGAGCCTTTGGTAGCAGCAGAAGGGGGTGTTGCCTTCATCATCTGACAGGCACGACGAGTCCCCCGCGCTCTCTCCCTCCTGCCCGCAAATGAAAAGGCTCCGCGCACCCCGGCGCAGGGGCGAAATGCCCGCAGGAGCCGCCGGCCGCCTGCAAAGATGTTGCACTGGAATGAGGAAGTGGAGTGGCGAGGGGAGGGACTGAGAGCGGAGCTGCCTCCTGCCGCTCTGCTTGGCCGAGGAGCAGCAGCAGCAGCACATGGAACTGGAGAGATCTGGGCGAGTTGTTTGCATCCAGCTCCGGCCAGAGCAGGTACCGTATTTTCGCGCCAGAGCGCGCCCATCAAAATTGGTCGTGTCGTACTCTGCCGCTTCTGACAGACAGAAAGAAAAAAAGAAAACCTTTCTCTTTCTTTCTTTCTTTCTTTCTTTCTTTCTTT